AATATCCAGCGGTAAATACACAGTGCTGTAGCCTAACAATAAGATCTGTGCATTTCTGTAATATAGCAAAGAAACTGGCCTGTTAAAAATTTAAACTAAACCCTGACCAGTGTGGCCCAGTTGGGTCTTGTCTTACAGAGTGAAGGGTCACTGGTTCAGTTCCTGGACAGGGCACAAATAAAGTCTTCAAAAAATATTTTTTAACTGAAATGAAAATAATATCTTTTCTTTGGGTCCAGTTTCTAATAATCATAATAACTTCAGAGATTCTCATTTTGTGGCATTTCTAGATTTTTGTTATATTTGGTAAACCTTATATTTTTATTTACTTTTTAAGAAATTCTTTTGGGGTAGGTGGTTGAAAGCTGTATTTACACCTACATTATATGCAGGTCTTTCAGCTTGATGCACAAAAAAGGAAATCCCCACCATAATGTTGTTGGTGAGGCTATACCAACAATACGCAGTTTCACACATGCATAGACACAAATATGTTAAGATAGCCTTCAGCTGGCTTCCTATTCACATGGGTTATTATACATTCTGGCTCTTGTAGGTTGAAACAGGCAACAAAAAAGTTTTTTGAACTCTAGTAACTTAAAGCCACAGCTACTGTTCGAGTTTTTCCTTAATGGGGAAAGTGAATTTGGGTACTTTTTTAGCTGTTAATCTTGGATTTTCTCCTCTTAGGCTTCCAAGAACAAAACACTTGTTAAATGTCATCAATGAAAACTTTGGCACCCTTGCCTTCTGCCGGAGATGGTTGGATCGCTTGGGAGAAAGTAAATACCTGATGGCTCTGAAGAATCTGTGTGACTTGGGCATTGTAGATCCATATCCACCATTATGTGACATTAAAGGATCGTATACAGCACAGTTTGAACATACCATACTGTTGCGTCCAACATGTAAAGAAGTTGTCAGCAGAGGAGATGACTATTAAACTTAGTCCAAAGCCACCGTAACGTCTTTTATTTTATAAGCTTTGTGGGAATACGTTATACCTGAATTAATTTTGCAATATGTCTGTTTAACAGTGGACCTATGTAATACTTTTATTCATGTTTAAAAAGGAAGGAATTTGATCAAAGGCAAACCATCTAATGTAATTAACCACCAAAAAAGCTTTCAGGACTTTAAAATGTCAACTGTTTTTCTCCTGTCTAGAAAATGCTCAAATGTTCAAATTAGGAATGACTTAAACATTTTGTTTTGAACACCTAATAGATGCTTTTCAAATATTTATATTGCCATATTTTTATTTGAATGCTTTGAATGACTACATCCAATTCTGCACCTATACCTTCTGGTAATGCTTTTTAACCTTCCTGGAATCCATTTTCTAAAAAATAAAGACATTTTCAGATCTGAGAGCTATATTCCAATGTCTGTGGTTATAATTTTTTTGCACAGGGAATAACAACTTAATGTAGGAAAATGTAGAGCCTTTTATATGGTTGTACACTTCTACACTGAAACTTTTTTTCCCTGACATAGTGGCCAAATAATGTCTATACATATATAAAGTGGGCGGAGAGCTTCATAAATTAATATACAGCTTTAGGAATATTTTGTGTTCTTTTTAGGATCATATTAGTCCTTGTCTTTCATTTTTCATTCACATTGGAAAGATCTATTTGAAATCTGACTGAGTAGGAACATGGTACCAACTTGAAACCTTGACTTAGTAAAATCTCAACATTTAGATCATTTGTGCAGTGATATATTTATCAGGAAGTGTATTCAGCTTGTTCAGTAAACAAAAGGCATTTGAAACCACAAAACAGAAAAATTTACCATGATTGGGCTTTGTTCTAGTTAGAATAAAGTGAAAACGAGTTAGAACAGCTAGTGAAAACACGTTTTCATTAGCTGCCCCTGACTGGTTCAGATTCATAACATAATGGGTAATATTTCAGGAAGTGAGTTTACAGTGACTCATTGTAGCAGCTAAGTTGAACGTAAGGTGCATGATATTTGAACTGAGCCCCACTACCAGTTTTGAAAAAATTGCTTAAATTCTATGTAAACGATTTTTGGGGAATGTTCCAACATAATTTCAAAAGTTATGTATCAAGGTAAAGCCGTAATTTGTATGTTTAGCACAGTAACATTTTTTGCCTCTGGGATGCTGTTTTGTATTTTAATGTTTTTCTCGTAGGAAGAGAAACCTTACTTCTGTACTTAGATCATTTTTTACACATTAAAGTGGCTTTCAGAATTGGAACTATAAATGAATGTTATCTTGTGGGATAAGTTAAGCACTCTAGTTCAGCGATATGAGCCATGTTTACTTATGGTGCTAATGTTCAATAACTACCTTTGAATAAGTTTCCTCTTTTCTGTATGTGCTAGTGGCAGAGCTCACCTGTGCGCTCCTGGACACATTAGAGGGCTAACCCTTCAGCTAGTTCTGTAGTTTTGAGTCCATACCATTTTGATGTGTTTGGTTTAATAAAGTTATCTTGATTTCCAAGCTCAATAATTTTACAATTGACCCTGTGAGTGAAGAATTTTGGAGGTTTGTAAGACTTCTTTAGCAGTAGTGATCTCAAACCATTTATGAGGTCCAAGTTCCCTTCCCAGGTAACTGTTAGGAGCAGTGCCATTGTTTGTATGCCCCTGGAATGGCTGGGAAAGTTGTCACTCAAGAAAAAATTGTATTGTTTATTTACTAGCCGTGTATCTTTTGAAATCATTTTGTCATGTTTATAATGATGTACCTTATTGGTAAACAATTCTTAGCTTGAATGTTTAACAATAGTGCCTTTAGTAAATTATTTTATAACCAAAACATGTTGTTTTTTTGTTAGACCAATGTAGCAGAATGTGGAAGTCCACACTGAGATATACAGTAAGAAATCTAAGTTTCTGTGCATTGTCTAGGTTTTAGTTTTATTTTAATGGGCTTTATTTTTTTAGATCCAATGTAGGTTAGTAGCAAAATTGAGCAAGAGTTAGTTACCACGTATTCCCTTAACCTCACACATACAGCCTCCTATGCAGGTTTTAGTTTTAAGGGATTAAAAAGGGCTAAGCCAAGTTCTTTCTTTCTCATCATATATTACATTGAAATAAGTACTGAAACAAGTAACTATTATAAATAACATAGCTTCCAGAGTTGTTTTTAAAATATCCCACTAAAATTAGGGGTTAAAATGTATAGCAGTTAGCCTATCCTTGAGATTAAGAAAGACTGTATTCAGGTACCTTGACCACGTAAATCTTTAGTGAGGTATAATTACATTAACAGTTGAAGTAACAACTTGCATAGATATTTAATGAACGATTTTAAACCTTAGCCATTTAACACTCAAGTTGTATTTTTGGCAATAAATGATACGTCTGTACAGTGGTAATTTCTCATTGCACTTCACAATTGGCTGCCCCAGATGACCTGCTCTCTGAAAATTAGAAAAATTTGCTAATAGAGGTCATTCTCAAGCTTATACTTACGGATGATCACTAGTGGAGAACAGCATTTAACAGGATGTTATCTTTCATTAAGATTTCAACCTGCAAGAAAACTCAATTAAAAAAAGTAATGATCTAGTGGTTAACACTGACCTAAGATCTTATATAGTTGATCAACATCTGCTAGTGGGTACTTACCTTTCTAAAATAAAAGTTAGCAGCAGTAGGATTTTAAGGAGATCTAGAAAGATTATTAGGGAAGAACAGAGTCATACTGTATTTTTGACAAAAGTGCAAGATGAGATAATTTTTTTTAAATGTCAGGGCCCAGAGTTTGAATATCTAAAGAGGTTCCCAGTATTCACATAACCCTAGCAAGAGAGAAATCAGGCTTTAGTTGCTTAGAAAAATGAGATGCATATTGCTCAGCTGCCCATTTTTTTAAGTCCTGAGGATGTATTTGCTTTGAGAGAGAGGAAGGAAGAAGAAATATCGATGTGAGAGAGAAACCAATCGGTGCCTCCTGTATGTGCCGTGATGCCATGATGGGATTGAATCCACAACCTTTTGGTGCACAGGATGATGCTCCAACCAACCAACTGAGCAATCTGACCAGGGTCCCTCTGCTAATTTTAAACAGTTATTTTCTCTGCCCTGTAATTTTTTTGCTTCAAGGCTTATTTTTATTCCTTTAAGGATCTCAAGATATGTGGTACAAAGGTTTAAGAGATGCAATGTTTAGTCATAAAAAACTCATATCCAAGTTAAATTGTGTAACATACTGTTTGGTAAATTCAAGTTTTTGATATGATTGCTTTATTTGAATCAGGACAAACCTATTTGCTGCCAAACAAACCATCATGAGTCCAGGCTATTGTTTTCATGTCCATAGTTAAGTCATTTAACATACTATTTATAAAGCTGTCATTTTCTTTTGTATAGTTTGACTATGCCAATTGAGGAACAATTATTAAGAATAAATTTTTGAAAAAAAATTCCATTAACGTCTTCTGAGCCCAATAACACAAAGCCTCAGAAATATCAATGAGTGTGTTTGATGAGTATTTAGATGATGCCTTGATATTTCTCTTTGAAAGTAGTTAACTTCCTTCAAGGGGCAAAGGTAACTTCAATATACAAATGGCCTGAAAGAAATTACTTTTGTGGGGTAAAATTGTTAGTGAAGCAAGTGTCTAATTTTCTATTGAATAAGAATTTGTATAGAAAATAGCTGCAAAAGATTAAAAAATGTATAAAATGATGTTACCTGAACTGAAGTACAAGATTGCATAAATTCATGACCTAAGCCAATTAAAACTAAATATAAACGAGGTAACACCAGTGTGAGGTAAACTAAAAAGTTAAAAACTCCCAAGTACTTGAAAAAAGTTTAGTTACCTACTGTAATTGATATATAGGTATCTATGTTTTATCTGTAAAATGATGTAGTTAGATAGGAAATGTATACACATAGTATGCACTGATTTAGTAAGTAAAAAATAAAAATGAAGCTCAAAATTTTAAGTCAGCCCTTTGAGGAAAAAAATATATATATATAAATTGCAAGAAGCCCCACTGTCTTTGGATCAGCTAAGCATTTCATTAGAGGTATCAGCTTCTTCAGTAGGAGGTAGGATACCAGACAGGAGCTCTGGAGGCAAGAGTTTAGCATGTCCATTCTCAGTAACTTGCTGGGTATAAAACAAAATATAAGCTTGGGCCTTGCATACTTCATCCATAGTGCACATGCTTAGCTTGGAATCATTGCAGTGTACCCAGAACCCTAGAGTGAAGCACAGAAATATACCTTAAGTTTGTAAAGGAACATTAGAAATTTCTAGTATAAATTAAAATATGGATTGAAGCAACAGTTTCAGTTGAGAGTTAACATTTTTTTTCATTTGCAATTATAGTGGACATACAATATTATATAAGTTTCAGGTGTACAGCATAGTGATTAGACATTTATATACCTTACAAAGTGATACCATGGTAAATCTAGTACCCATCTGGTACTATTACAATATTGTTGACTATATTCCCTATGCTGTACTTTACATCCCTGTGACCATTTGTATAACTGGCAATGTGTACTTCATAATCTTTCATCTTTTCCATCCATTCCCCGCTACATCCCTATCCTATTAGGGGAGATAGCAATTTCTTCTCTGTATCTGAGCTTGTTTTGTCCCTTTGTTTTTTAGATCCCATATATATTGGTCTAAGTGAAATCATATGGTACTTGTCTGTCTTTGTCTGACTTCCTTTAGCATAATACTGTCTAGGTCTATCTGTTGTTGCAAATGGCAAGTTTTGTTCTTTTTATGGCTGTGTAATATTCCATTGTATTTATGTACATCTTATCCATTCATCCATCAAGGGATACCTAGACTGAGTTAAGCTATTTTTGAAGAGAAAGTATTTGTCTAACCAATTCACTTCTTTTAATGAGAGATACAACTTGGGCTGTATGTACTCCAGAAGAATTACCTGCCTTTATCCTAGAAGTAACTTGAAGTTCCTGATTAGTTCATTTGACAGTATCTTTAATTTTGGTATAATCTTACCAGTTAATGCTTTTGCTGCTTATCATACTATAAAGCAAATACAGCGTGCAACTTACTCTTGGTACTTCACTGTTAAACTACCTTCCTGGATTAACTGGGCCTTTTGTCCACACCTCTTTTCCTTTTTATATGTGTGTGTGTTGTGGGAGGAAATGGGCATGGGGTGGGGGGCTCATTCTTTGTTTTACAGTAGGTCGGGAAAGGGAAAATAAAATGTGAAACATAAATTCAATTACTTTTGACCATGGAGGCAGTAAATTCAAGTGAGTTTTATAATCTGAACTCAAAGTTTGTTCCAAATGTCTGTGATCCCTCAGTTTATTACATGCTCTGTTCTTTAACAAAAAATAAGTACATTCAACCAGTAAGCAGAGGACCTGCTCTTGGAAATGTGCCTTTAAGAAAAGATAGCACACTCTTTCTGACATATAATTAATGAGATCATCCTTATTATCCTATCCCTATAGTTCTTAGAAGTCACAAGTACTGCAGTCCCAACAAAAAATACCCAATTTTTTGCATAGAACTTCAGTATTTTCTATAAGGAACAATGCAGAAGCATTCTTCTTGAAAGAAAACAAGAGGTCAAGTAGCTTTGCTGATAATTTAGCAGCCAATTTAGAAATCATTAGAGCCTAAACTCCAGCAGCCAAGTCTAACCCAAAGTAAAGTACTTTTCCCCATCTATACCTCCTTCAGAATTATAGCAGTAGGCAGTGTAGTGTCCTGAGCCAAATTCTTTCCCATGGTGCATTACTACAGCAGATAAGTCATAGATAAAACATTCTGGTCTGAGGGATTTCATGGACTCCCTGCAGCAGTAGGGCTCCATGTTTAAGACTTCTTTAAAGTCCACATGAACACCAATCTTCTCTCGGATATTACGTCCTGACCATCTGTGAATAAACCAGGGTAAAATCATTAACAAAATCAAGGGAAAATAACCAGGTACTAGGTTCAGATAGTTAAAAAAAAAACCCTCAGAGTATGGAATACAAAGAATAATATATAATAAATAATATAAACATAAAATCCTTTCAGTGCTAAAGTTGGTTATAAATGAAAGAATTTAGCCTGTGCCAGGTAGCTCAGGTGGTTAGAGCATCATCCTGAGATGCCAAGGTTGAAGGTTTGATCTCCAGTCAGGGCACATATAAGAAACAATCAATGAATGCATGAATGGTCCTTTCTCCCTCTCTTTATGTCAAATCAATCAATAAATTAAATATATATATACATATATACACACATACACTAAATAAGCAGATACACACACACACACACATATATATATACCCATTCAGGTTTTAAAATAAATATTTGCCATCATAAATAATTAGATGATATAGGAAGAATTAACTTTCAGAAAAGAAAATTATGGTCCTATGATATTTTCTGCTTTCTAACATAAATTCAAAGTACCAAAGGGTTTTTAATTTTTTATTGTCACAGCATGAAAAAAGTATCTCAGAAGCTAGAATTTGTTCTTGGGAAATACAATCTGGACCTTACTTGACCAGGTATGGAGAAAAAGCAGAACTAAACAGGGCACATCTAATTTCATAATATAAGAAAAAATAGGAACTGTGACCCTTCCCTGTGTGTGAGCATAACTACCCATTAGTAACAAAAGTCAAATAATGCCCCTGTGTTGTCGTTTTCTCAATGTGGCCATGCTTCTCAGTACTGGACCTAAGTTGAATGGCAAGCAATTTTTTTTGTCACATAAATAGTATGAGCTGGTGCTATGGGGGAAAATAATGTAATAATATATGGTAGTTCTTCCAAGAGATTATAATCCACTTAGGGTGGAGTTGAACAGAGAGAGATAAAAGACAAACTTCAATGAAAATGACAGTATTAAACTACTAAATAAAACATGAAATTAAGACAATAGCAGAGAAGGGAGAAGAGAATATAGACAGGTTTATGAAGGAAAAATGTGAAAATGGGGTGGGATCAGGGGTGGGAGGTGGGGATGGCTGGGGTGGGGGCAGTGGTGGGGGGAAAATGGAGACAACTGTACTTGAACAATAATAAAAAAATGTTTTTTTAAATGTGAAAATGCTTCCTAGTACAATGTTAAAATAGTATGGAGCTAAAGTAAGACTTGCACATTATATTATCTGCTGGACTAGGAGCCATATCCCAGTCCTTTCTCATGAACTATGTAAAAGATGCTATATCCAATGCACCTTTAACTTTAGTGATGATGGAAGGGCAAGCTATGAAATAATGGGACCTACTTAACATGAGACATTCCTGTCATTCTCACTTTACCATACCATATTATTTAATTATGCTAAATAAACACTTGTAAGCCATCTAAAGAGAAAATATCCATTCCTATTGATCAATTGGGTACCCAGGTATTTTTCTGCTGAAATACAGTAAAAGGACAAGGAACAGGATAATAATTTACCCAGAATTCACAATGGTTTACTTCTGAGGAGAGAGCAAGAGAAAAAGACTAGGAAGGGGCACACAGGGAACTGCTAAGCTGTTGGAAAGACTCGTTTTCTCATGTTTCTTCAGAGAGTTCCTGTGTGCCAATCCCATTCTCCCTTTTGTCTTTTATTTGTCCTTTATACCTTATACACTGGCAAATACAATAGTACTTTTTTAATAGATAAAGGAAAAAGATAAATGTGATAAAAAGCAGTGTAAACAAAGTCTCTGAATCAAACAACTCGAGGCATGAAGGGTTAAAAATGTTTTAGGCAGAAGATAGAAGGAAATGGAGTCAAATAGGTTTATACTAAGGAAACTTTAAAATGCCAGATTAAATAGCAATTAGGAAGAACAGGAAGTTCTGCAACAGTTTAGAGTAGCCAATTAATTATCAGTTTAAGTTACAAAAATTTAAATCCCTTTCATTGTTTTTCACAGAGTCTCATATATGTTCTCACTTCCCAATGCTCCCTGACCCTTCTTGTTACCTGAACCTGGAATACAGTAGCAACCTCCTAACTAATTTTCCCATTTTTATTCTACTTGGTTTTATGCACAGTGGTAGGTCTCACCTGATGTTTCACTAAACCCTTTGTTGTAGACACCTCCCTATTCCTTCCTCCATATCTTTACTCATGTTGCTCCTCCTCCTGTCTACACTCCATTCATTCACTTAAATATTTGAGGGCATCTACTATGCACAGAGCTTGTTCCACTGGCAGAAGGAGAGAAATAACTAAACTACTAATTGCAGACAGTGGCTTTCGTCATACCCTGTATTAACCAATATGGGGTAATGTGATACTGAGGGTTGGGTGGTGCTACTTTTCAGTAGGATGGTCAGGGAAGTTCTCTCTAAAGAGAAGGCATGTGAACTGAGACTCCAATGATATAAATCCCTTAAGTCATTAAGCTTTGGGAACATTTAGATGTTAGCTAACTCCCTCTTCCAAGTCTCAGATTAATCAGTTTGTTTATAGTTTGTGATATTTAGTATTTCTACTTCATTATTATTTCTGTGCATGTCTTAACCATAATCTTCTTGTGAAAAGGATCCTACCTTATATTCCTCAGAGAATATAGAACATTTTAAATTAAAAAGCACTCACATGATGTTTTCTGACTATACCTAACTGAAATAACTGAGCATGGTTAACAGTGATTATTACCTCTGGGAAGTGGGACTGGGAAGAAAGGTGATTTTACTTTGGGCTTTTACTTTACTTTCTGTAATGTCTGAAATATTTTAAAAACATACCCCTTTAACTGTTAAAAAATTAAACCATAGTCTCAATAGTTTTCAAAGCATAGCACATAATAAAGTACTTCTCATTCTTTAATAGTAAACCCTCATATTATATTGCACGTATTGCAGCATACGAAAGCCTATGCTCTGATTAAACAAATTTGCCAACTTATTTCTCTGACTAAATATATTTTTGAAGTTTGTTTTTAACTGCTTTGAAACTAAACTGCTGTAGCTTTGTTCAATTGAGCGAAATACTCTAAGTTATAGATTTAAAAAATTTTACATCTAAGCCCTGGCTGGCGTAGCTCAGTGGATTGAGCGCGGGCTGGGAACCAAAGTGTCCCAGGTTCGATTCCCAGCCAAGGTACATTCCTGGGTTGCAGGCCATAACCCCCAGCAACCGCACATTGATGTTTCTCTCTCTCTCTCTCTCTCTCTCTCTCTCCCTCCCTTCCCTCTCTAAAAATAAATAAATAAAATATTTAAAAAAATTTTACATCTATAATATGCTGAATATTAAACAATACAAGCAGAAATTTACAAGGAGAATAATATTACTTAGCCAACCAAAATGTGAGGGGGTCTGCTGAATAGCAATGCATTCCACAAGGGAAGCTAATTAAGTTAGTTACTGAATATGGTGTCCACTGGTCAAGGCTAGAGACAATGACAAATTTATTTTCCCTTAAAATAAAAGGCAGAAGTACATGTAAGTCATCTCCTAGCCAAGGATATAGTATTACAATTTAATTAATCAAAAGTTAAATTCTGAAGCACTGTAAGAATAAGAAATGGTAAGTTATAAGTGTACAGTTGGTAGGCAACTGGTACTACTACTACTACTAACCTGAATCGTTTGAGATGTAGTCTAAGAATTTGAGGTAGGTGGCAAATCATAAGCTGTTTTTGGGCTTCTGTGAGTACAACTGGTTTTGAAGAAAACCTTCTACGCTTTGCTGTGATATCATAGAGAACAAAAATCAAATTTAAGGAAATAAGGAAAAGCTGAGTAAACTTTTAAAATAATTCACACATGCATTATCACTTAAACATCTACTGTGTTACAGACATTGTACTGTGCTAGAGATAAAGACATAGCTGTGCCCTCAAGAAACAAATCACAATAAAAAAAAAAAAACAGCCTTGGCTGGTGTGGCTCAGCAGACTGAGTGCCCACCTGAGAAGCAAACAGTCTCCAGTTCAAGTACTAGTCAGGGCACATGCCTGGGTTGCAGACCAGGTCCCCAGTAACCACACATTGTGGGGTGGGGTGCACAAGAGGCAACCACACATAGATGTTTCTCTCTCTTTCTTTCTCCCTCTCTTTCCCTCTGTAAAAATAGATAAATAAAATCTTTGGGGAAAAAGTGTCATTTAAAAAAAAACAACTTACGAGTTAGTCAAGGTAGACAGACATGTAAACAAGTAAATAATATAATCTTGTAAATAAGGCTGTAATGCTATATTTTTAAATGGATTTGGCTCTATCAAATAGGAAAAGTTAAAACTCTCCCTAAACAGAATTTAATATACTCTTCCTAAACTCTTAATTTAAAAAAGTTTCACAGGCAGTTCATTGAGGAGGCTAATTAAGATCCTAGAGGGCATGGGTCTTTTTTTTTTTACGGATTTTATTTATTTATTTTTAGGGAGGGAAGGGAGGGGGAGAGAGAGAGAGAGAGAGAGAGAGAGAGAGAGAGAGACAGACAGACAGACAGACATCAATGTGCGGTTGCTGGGGGTTCTGGCCTGCAACCCAGGAATGTACCCTGGCTGGGAATCGAACCTAGGACACTTTGGTTCCCAGCCCACATTCAATCCACTGAGCTATGCCAGCCAGGGCTGAGGGCATGGGTCTTTAAGGAACACCCCCTTCCCAGCCCTCCCCACCCCTTAGAAGGCAGGCATTCACTAGCTCTGCAGCTGAGGCCTCCCTCAGGGTCTTGCTTTTGCTATTTTAGCACCAGATCTTAAATAAGTGGAACCTAGGATTCATTTTGTTGTCCCCTGTGCTTCTCTAGTGGTCCACCTGGAGACTGTGTCCTACAGCCTCCAGCTAGAATATTGGCTATCAAAGTTTGCTCTTGATGTCCAGGAGCTGTCCTGCAACTTGTGCACTGGCTCTGACTGCTGCCATAGTAACACCTGCTCTTCATGTAGGAGGTAGAATCAGTCCACCATGAAACTGTCCTCGAAGCCAGCTCTGCTTGCCACCAGCAGCCTTCCTTCAAAGGCTATGCCCCTGAGATCAGGTATCCACCAGCTGCTGGTGAATGTCCTGGACCTATGTGTAGATCATCGCCCAGAACACATGATCCAAGTATAGCTATACAAGGATGTCAACACCCTGACTTACAACTTCCATCATTTGCTTTTATGTATTAAAGCAACCTTTTTAGGCCTTTATTTGGTAGACCCAGCAGATACATATAAACGTATTATAAAACCATATTCTGCATGCATTCATAATAGTGTTCTACTCCAAGATTTGGTGACGAAAGCATCTAGGACCACTCACATTTATGTCCAAGAAAAAATGTACATCATCATACAAATTTGATAAAGGTTTATTTTTTTCTCTAACCATATAAATCTTAGGCTCCTTATTAACAGTTTATATTAGAAGCACTCAGAAAACAGTATTAGTATATGCTGTTTTATAAAATCACCACTTGATGTGATATTTCTTCAATGCTAGACCATCCAATGTTTCCTTTACATTGCCTTAGAAGTTTAATATCTAAAGCCCTGGAGTCATTTTTTTCATATGTGAAAGTTATGGAGAATACCTGAAAATATAAACACTAAAATGCCATGTACACGCTGATAGAGGAGATAAAGACACCACATAAAGACACAACAGATCTGATGTGCTTTTATACACCATTCCCCTGAAGGACAATGCTTCCCTTTAACTGAAATGGCTATTTTATCTCCCAGTGTTGGGTGCCTGTACCCACCTCTATTAGAGAGAGTACTGTAGTAGATCTTAATTGTCTACCTGTTTCCTCCATTAGTAACATGAGCACCTTAAAAGCGTCTTACCTCTATCTATAGCAACTAGAATGATCACTAATATAGAAAAAATAATGGATGTTTTTAAAATAAATCTTTGTTTTTAGGAAGCCAATCTCCATAGCAGTTCAGCAACATATTATTATCTATTACATAGATATGTATACACACACACAAACACACAATATTATCTATATCAGTGCTTTGGTAGATAGCAAAAAGACTTAAAGCAAACATTTTGCTCAGTACTAAATAACATGCTTTCCTTTTACCATACCTCTTTGCTATGCAATTCTGCCTCACATATTAAATTAAAAATTTTTAATTTTATGAATCCATTTCCATAACTGCTACTTAAGGAATTTTTTCCAGCTTCCTTTCATTTGTGTTTCTCTTTGCTGATCTTAGAAAAGCAAGGAGAATATAGCCTCTACTTACAGTTACACTGGTCACATATGTAAATTTTTCCTTCTAAAGTTTCTGTTTCTGTGAATTTGGCCAACATTTCAGTAACTGGGCATGGCTTAGAAGCATTATCTTTTCCACCGCGTTGGTATCTTTCAGGAAAGTCCAGTGATAAGTCCCAAAAAGATTCTATGGTATTTGACTTGTTGTCACATGCAAGACATGTCACCTGCAAACAAAAATATTAGTTTCAGCTTACAATCCTCCTGTCAAAACATTTACTCCTTTCACTAGAAGTCACTGCCAATAAAAAATATTTCTTTTGAAAGTGCAATATCAGAATTCTGAATAACCTGCTTCGTATTATTTTTAGGTAATTTTTATTATAATTTCTCCTTCCAAAACACTGTCATTAAACTAACCATCATACATTGGTGACTTTAACCACTAGGCATTCAAAAAGCTCCAAGGACTTTAGTCAAATCTGAATTTAGGTAAAAAAGCAAACAAACCGTGGACTCATTTAATCAGATATACATTGTGTGTGTGTGTGTGTATTTATATATATATATATTTATATGTATTTAATTTAATGTGTTTAGATCATTAGATTTGTAGTTCTTTGCCCTTTTTTCTTCCTCATCTTTCACTAGTTGATTTTCTTTTCCCAAATCTTTATAACCTGTTCACCATGATACAAGTAAAATACTATTAGCATATTTTATATACAGAGTTTTATATGCAGAGGTATATTACTGTTATAGATTTTGAGGCCCTACCAACTGAACTTCAAAAGCTAGTAATATGACAAATAATGAGGTTATACTCCCACTTAAAGCAAACATCACTACCTTAAAATCCTCATCAAAATACAGGTTCCAGCACAAATTAACACTCATTTATTACAAAATCTTTTATTACAAAATCATAAGCATGTAATTCTGTAACATAACAATATCACACTCAAGCACACCATATGACATTTTAGATGAAATGTTCAAATTAAAACTATAAATTATTACAGCCATATTATTACCCTACCAACCACACTCAAGCAGGCATTACTTCTGCCAGACCCTGTATAGGAACCACAAAGAATACGGGCAGTTCTAACAGCTTACATAGGAAATATAGTAACTGGAAAGGGAAAGAATAACAACTTTAAAAAGTGAAGAATTTAGCAGGATTTAGTGCCAACAAACACTGAAAATAATTGAATACAGACAATAAGAAATACAGTTGATGCTTGAACAACATCAGCATCTTCCAATTTGTTCCCTATTGGGTTGAACCCTCCTTATTTCAGTCTCTCAGAGAATGAATATAATAACATGGTTAACTTAAGAAGCTCTGTTTCCTAACTTCCCCTCCCCACAAAAAAAGCTTTCACACAATGGACATAAAACTACCTCCAATAGTTTATGAAGGAAGCTGTAAATAAGTAAACTTTACATGTTTGTGAAAGTGACCTATTTTAACCTGAAAACAGTATTAGCTCCAACACACTAGACAGAGAATGTACATTTTTTTTAGGTTTCACTTTCACTGTACAAAGTCTCCACAATGAAAATGATATTTTAAAAAACCCATACCTGACTAAGAAGTTGTCCATGAAAAATGTTATTCACAACATTCAAAACCTGTTTGATAAGTTTCCTTTGAGAAGTGGGGATGAGAGCTAGTAACCTGGTACCAGTTGTCTCTAGTTCATGTTGTACTTTATCCAAAAGTTCACAAAGAAACTCCTGAGCATCTTGTTGGGCATAACCACGAAAAGCAGGAATTAGTCTCCACACTGAGTGTAGCATAGCAAATGGTGAGACCAAGGTCCACTTTCCAGACCACATGACTTGGAACAAAGTATGTAGTTCATGACAGAGAGAAATATATTGTGAGCTTGACTCCCTTGGCTGAATAAGTTCCATCTTTCTACTCTTTGATGCGCCACCACTTAGTCTAGATGATAAACTTGGGTGTCTGGAGTAGACAGAGCTTTTAGCTTTTTCTTGGCATTCATTCATTTGATACACTGCATCTGTGACTGGTGGATGCTTATAAGATGATTTTGTCTTTTCATTAGCTGTCACAGCCAGCCATTGGTTCAGATCAAGTTTTAAAAAACATTGTCGAAAAATAAGTAAATGACTCAACACTTGAAGAACAGAGTTCATATAGCAAGTATTTCCCAAATTTCTTAATCCTGTTACACCAGGAGCTAAAATTGGCCTTTGTTTAGTTGAGGAGTCACTGGCTTTTTTTAATCTTACGCCTTCTGAGATAGACACCACTTTATCTTTTGCTGGTGCTGCTGGGGTTTGGAGTGGTTCTTCAACAGGAACTATTTCTATTGTGGACAGAGCTAGACCTTGCAAACGCAGACTCTTTCTTGGGAGCATATTTTCCAGTTCTGCTTTAACTTGATGCTCTAATTCTTGTCGTCTTTTCTTAACTTCTCTTTTTTCTATTTTTTCCTGAAATTGTTCTTCTTGCCTTTTTCTTCCAATGGGTGATTGTTCAAACCAAATTCGAAACATTTTACCCATCAGGATCCTTCTCCTGTGCCAAAGAGCAGTATACATTTGATCTTCATTTTGAAGCAGGGATTGGGCGCCATTATGTAAGAAATAAGAATTATTACTTATACCCATAGATCGTAAAACCCTTCCACTACGAGTGGTGTAGTGATAATTTTGACTTTTGATTGCACTTAATGTACTTCGTAGTAACTTCAGGTCTCCACTTGCATTATCATTAAGAACATAATCATCACAAAGGTAACAAAAAACATACATATCGTTCACCTCTAATGCAACAGGATGACTGCTTTCTTGAAAGTGCTTGAGTGCATGTTCTTCAATATATCTTCCACAGGCAACATGGGAACAGCTAAGGCAAGCCCAAATGGACTCAGTTGTATTGCAGTCCACACAATGCCATTTCTGAGGGTTGAGAACGGAATGGTCTTCAGCAAGCTGCAACTGCCCAATGTGTTTGCACTTATCCATTGTTAACATTTATTTAGTCTAGCTGAGAAACACATAATCCAAATAAGTCTCTGTTCACATGTGAAGCATCTGAAAACTAAGCAGAACACTGTCAATTTTAAAAAAATAAAAACAAGAAGCCAATAGTTTTCTTTTCCGTAAGTATTTTTCCAAGAATAATCTTATAAATTTGTTTCCTTTGTCCAATTTCTGGGCTGCCTGTCATAATACCATAGGCAGTTCTCACATTTCCCTCGCTGTAGACTTCTCTAATTTCTCATCCAGCTTATTGTGAAAGAGCATACACTTCACTTTACTCTGAGAGGGTTCCCGCTAAAAACTTGAAACATTTTCTGCCACCCTCTACTGGTGAAGAATGGGTAGTGACCACTTTTCACTGAACTAGAATGCATCCGTTACCCAATAGTGTGAGGGCAGTCTAAGATTGAGACTGACAAGACCCAACTATATCCCACTGATGTCTACATTCTGAAACTCTGTGTGGAGTTACTGAATCACACTCCTAGTTAAAAAGCATGGATTTTGAAGCAGAACAATTTATGTTTGAATTCTACCTCTGCCACATACCATCATATGTCTGATTTGAGCAAATATTTTAACTTCTCTAAACTTCATCTGTAAAAAGGGGAAAGTCATACCAACTTCAAATTGTATAAGAATTGAAATAACAAGCTATCTGACACACAGTAAATCCTCAATAGATGGTAGCTATAATGGTGGCCATAGTGAATAAATCTTAATATTCTCTTTTATTTATTTAAATAAATCATATGTAATAGCTTACTTAATTACCTTTTTATATTTGGTTTTACATTAATAAATCAATAATGACCTTTACTTCATGGCTCTAATAACCTACTCCGATTTGATAGACTTGACAGTTTGCCTTAGGGCCAGAGAAAGACAGAAGGAGAATGCCTTTGTGTTTGAACAGACTCTCAGGAATGTGCAAGAACATGTAAACAATGAAAGAGAAACAGGAAAAATGCAAAGTAGATGGCAATATAATAAACTTTTACATTCTGGTAGGCCTAAGCATTATGCTAAAAAACAAATACACACACACACACACAAAGCCAACATAATAAAACAAATAAAACCTATATAATTTTGACATCAAAACTTGTTCCTTTATTAGATAAAGTGAGGAACATTTCTGTTACAAGTACCTAAAAATAATGAACTGAAATCTAGTTAAAAGTAGGGATCATAAGACATTTTCTTTATTGATTTAACATAAACTGAACACAAATTTCTGGTCACAAGTGGAGACCTAGCTACAAAACACTCAAACCATTATATATGGCATGATGAATACTTTACTTTTTTTAGGGCAGCAAGACAATATAAATTTCAACAGTACTTGTGGATGCCACCTACAGAGCCCTAAGAAAACTGCAAACATAAAGTTGACTTTTGGTTCCTTTTCACCTCTTAACTTTTACATATAGGGTTCCTGAATATGGATTTAAGATTGACTAGTCAAATATTCACATGTATACACATTTCAAGGACATATTTTAAGTTTGCTTACCTTCCCTCAAAATTTTCTGAGGTCCAAAATCTGGTCAAAAGCAGTATTTTATTAGAACTCCTAACATTCAACAATAGTTGCTAATGGCAAAATCAAGACATCAGTGATTAATATGCTCCATTACCTAAAACGTTTCCAAGTACTCAGGCTAAAAATCTTAGAGTCATTTTTGACTCCTCTTTCACCCTCCCCACACCAATCGTTCATGAAAAATGGTTGGCTCTACCTTCAAAATCTATCTAATATGACTACTTATTACCTCTACTGCTACCAGCTAGTCCAGGCCATAAATGAATCTCACCTGAATTACTGCAATAATGTTTCTAAATGGTCTCCCAGCTTTGATACTTGCTGCCACCAACTGTTGCTCTCCACACAGCAGCTGCACACACTGCCTTTAGACTCAGACAACCACGGTCCGGACCTGATATTTCAGGGGGCCCTTGTTCTGACCCTATGCCACTATATGAAGTCAGCAGTCAAGGGCATGTGGCCACCTGGAACCTGCACAAATCCCCAACTTGTCTTTTAGACCCACTCACTGGTACCTGGAACCTGGAGAATTCCCTGCCCCAATAATCCGCAAGTCTGCCTCCAGGACCTATGGGCAATAAAAAGCCGCTGAGAATTTTATAGAGAATCACATGAATGGATAGTAAGCTATAGAGAGATCTGAATTGCAGATCTAGAGGAACAGGTGATTAAAGGAGACTACTACTCCAAATGTTATAAGGAAATCAAAGCTGTAGCAGTGTTGAAGCAAAGAGGTGAACAGAAATATATTAGTGCTCGACAAACATTGGTTGAAAAAACTGACTTTTAAAAAAATGATTCAATATAGAGATTAAGGAAGAATCTAGGGCTCTCTTCTTCTATCTACACTTATTTTAAAAGGATCATATAAAGAACACAGATATAATTTAAGCAATTGTTTCTGGCAAGTCAGACAATAATTATTTAGCTACTGGAAATGATGAAGAGGGAAATTTTGTTGATTTACACTCAAGGAAAATTATTTCATTCTAAAACTTTAAAGAGGTGGTATGAGTCAACACCTTGAACAACACTCGGAGAAGAAGAATCAAAAGAAAAAACCTAGAAGGGATATTTTATATGCATATAAAATATATATTTTAAAAATATTAACATATATTCTAAGATTGTCTCTCAGTTGTGGGACTACAAGTTATTTTTCTTAAATTAATCCATATTTTTACATTTCTAAAAATAATACATTTACTTCTATAGTAAGTTTTAAGTAAGACAATGCTATGTACATGCTAAATTATGCACTAGCCTCTTTAATCCCTTCTCTATATTCTGCAAATAAACTCTCTTGGTTACAAGGAATTTGCCTACTTCATTGCATTTGTTACTAAAAATATCTATTTAGATGATGGCAACGTCCCTGACCTTCCATGGAAAGTGGCCTATAATTGAATAGCATGATTCCATTCAATGCAAAATTGTGAAAAGGGTGGAATGTTGATCAGATGCGCTCTCTCTGACAGGCAACACAGCAGGAGAGCAGCACCACAGCAAATGGTTAGGGACCACATTCTGGAGTCCAAATGCCTGAGTTTAACACAGGGCTATGTTTACTATGTGACCTAGACAAATTTATTTATGCTCCATATACCTCAGTTTTCATATCTGGAAAATAACAGTGATATTAACACCATTAAGGCTGTTGAGGGGATAGGAAAAACTTTTATTTGCAAAGCGCTTAGAATAATTCCTGGCACTAAATAATATGGCCCCCAGTACATCTTAGCTGTCAACAATTATACTAACAATAATGGTAACATTTTGTTAATGTTTCACTTTTAGTCGGGGTTCCTTTTCAGTCAAATGTGTACTAAGCTCAACTAAGGTGCTAATAATTAAGATCTCAGCTGAGAATTAAGGTCTGACCTCTCCCAGGGGTATTTGCATTTTTAAAGAGGAGTCTCTCAAAAATAAAGTCTTCTTAAAAACCTAGAGAAGTGAAACCAGAATGGTGGAATGACAAATCAAGAGATTAATATTTTAGAGCAGGGGGCCCACTTACCCTGCCTACTTATGAAAGAAATCAGCAGAGGATGGACGGCCAAGGGAAGGGCAAGGAGGGAAGCAGAAGAGAGCTACAGAGGCAGGCTGCTGGCACTAGAAATCTCTAGTTTGGTCTGCTCCTTGGAGCCAAAGCTCAGAGACAGTCTCTAGGGTATCTCCAAAGGGGCTTCATCACAGAAATATCTACAAGCTTGGAGGAGAAAGGAGAGGGAGTTCAGAGTATTTACTTCACGCTTCCCACTTTCCTCTACAGAGTTGAGAGCACTTCTTTTCATTTGCTACTCCACTGCTGAGAATCTATTAACTCTGGCTCTAGCAGACTAGGTTTGTGATTTTGGCAGTATACTCATTTTAAAGAGAGATAACAGAACATTTTTGTATTCCTTATGTAGACTGATAAAATGTCCCCTATTTCTACATGTAAAAGCAACATAAAAAGTCAAGATATTTTGTTTTCTTTTAAAAAATATTTTATTTTTAGAGAGAGGGGAAAGGAGGGAGGAAGAGATGGTGAGAAACATCAATGTGTGAGAGGCACATTATAATTGGTTGCTCTTGCATGGCCCCAACCAGGGATCTGGCCCACAACCCAGGCATGTGCTCTGACTGGGAATCAAACCAGTGACCTTTCAGCCCACAGGCCAGTACGCAATCCACTGGGCCACACCAGCCAGGGCTCACAATATTCTGAATGAAATCTATGTATATTATTAAAATTATTCTAACATTTTCTCATATATTGTAAAAATGTCCCAAACTTGAAATTCCAATTAACAGCTGTGAAATGGCCTTTAAAAAAAAAACCAAGTACACTAATCTGTATTTTAAAGACAGATGATTTATAAATATTGTGAAAGCTTTTTTTGTCATTTTTTCACTGTGTAAAGACAGTAAAAATTTTAATTTTTTAAAGAAACTATTCAAGCTATTCATACTTTTCATATCATATAGCTGAGCAAACATTTTTAGTTTCAAAATTCCCTTCAGCAAATTTCTAATGTTTAAGAAAATAACTGTATTGAACTAATTGAATTAGCTTATCATTACAACAATTATAAAATAGAAAGCTAAAATGACTGGAAGAGAAAAAAGACATAAGACTAATTACATGCAGTATTTTTAGTTAAAGGTTTATATCACACACAAAAATCAAGTAAGAGCACAAGTAAGATATTTAACCTATTAGAGTTCAATAGCACAAAATTGCTTATATTTACCACCCAGTGAGAATTCTGTGACATAAATCTTTATTTACTCATTGCAACATAAATCCAGGCGTTAGCATGTAGCAATACCTTTCTAATCTAATACAATGGCTTTTCAAACCTCTTGTCATAATGAACTTACTTCAAAAATCAGATCCGGGTAGCTCACTACCAAGACTTTATCCTTAGCCCTAACCTTTCTGATTCAGTCTCAGACA